AGTTTTGAAAACCATAATAAGTATAATCCACTGTATGATCTAAAAACGATAAGCCACTAAGTAACTTTTGACTTTGGCAAACATTTAAAATCGGAACTTAGGTAATATACTTATATAAGTGTGTGTGAATTAGACATTATTAAGTTTCTAAGGCATTTCTGAGTGAATTAAAATCATCGACTGTAACGTCTCCAAATCCTTTATTTGTCTGTTCGTTTTCTTCAAACTCATCGTTGGAGAAATATAATTTTCTGAAAATATAAAGTTGTAAAAAATATCTGAATACCTACCTAATTAATATTAAAAGATTTTACCTCTTAGATGATTTACTAGTCGTGCTCAGAGTGGTACCAGTGTTGCTGTAAATTATTAAAATTTATTTTATATTGTTTATTTTACTCCTCTAAACAGATGTGCAGTTTGGATTATGTTTTGTCACAGCCTCTGGCCATAATAATATCTACTATATACTGAGCCTTGTTTATAATTACTGGTTGTGAAATGAGTACCGCAGATTCTGCTCCAGATATAAATTGGGTAATAATTTAATTTGAAATTTTATTTCCTTCTATTTTCATTTTTTGTAAATCTATATTTGTGAACAAATTAGACTGGCACCATATTATTAAGAAATATAATCAGTACAACTAGAAAATAATACTTACAAATGAAAATTAAGGTAATGTGGCGAGGCGATACTTTGGATGTTTTACTAAAAACAATACACTTATGCATGGCAACTTTTTACTAAAACGTATGAATACAAAACTGTACGAATGTATAGTAATCTGTATTTACTATTTCCGTACAAATATCAAAATATCAAATACCTAATCGAATGATTCAAATGATTCAATTAAAGTCGGCGAACAATAAAATTATATTATGTTGTTGTTATTCATTTGATAACAATTATTACTATCTTAGTGATAATCACGGTATTTATACGAATGGATCTTCGCAGGAAAAAATTTTTTGTGTCCGTTTATAATATTGCCTACATTTAGCCCCTTTTTTGCAGTTATCAAAATGTGACAACATTGATAAACCGATAACATAATTTTCATTATAAATTATAATATTATATTTTATTATATTAATTATAATTAAAATAGTTAAATACATTAATAGTTAATAAGTTATTAAAAACACAATATCGTAATTTAAAATTTAAAAATACACAATTCATTGAGAATACAGTATAAATGTACAACATATTTAGGTGGAACATTATTTTAAATTTTCAATCTTTAGCTATAAAAGTTAAATTATATAATAAAATTGTGCAATTGTGTAACAAGGGCGCACCCAAGGGGGTGGCTAACGAGCTTTAGCACCCCCCAAATGGCTAAACATTTTGATAATTTTATTAGGTTTATTGACAAATTTACATTTTACTTTAAATTGTTATAAAAAAAAATTATCAACTATCGAAATTGAAACATTAGGTGTAACATAATATTATATTATATCATTGATTTTATAATTTTATTAAATTTATTCCTGTCATTCCGGGCCCCGGGAGAGACCTCTGTTGTCTATTATTATAGACTACGGCAGGGGCGGAGTGGCCGGTCTGGAAATGGGAATTTTCCAGATGGTCTGGTGGCCTGGCCATTTTGTTAGATTTTTTTTTAATTTAATTTAATTTACAAAATATTAGTTAATGCTAAATGCGTCGTAAATTTGTTTCTATTAAATTATTGTACTGCAAATATTATTAATGCAATAATAGTACATTGTGATAGCCTCGTACAACCGTATACTCTTATGAGAAAGTTTTGGATATAAAATTACAAAATATTTGGTACATAAATATAGACATCAAATAAAATCAAAGCAATATACCTAATATTGACATAGGTCGGTTATTTTTATAATAAAACACCCATTTTAAACATTGAAGTATTAATTAAAAAACAGGCTGAGAAATTCAATGACCAATGATTATCTTGAGTCTTTTATGCTAATGGCGAGAAATTTGGTGGGTGGCCTGGATAAATTTTATAACCAAATCCAGGCCGGGAGTTTAAAATTTATCAAGGCCACCCACCAAATTTTTTGTTTCTCGCTACGCTCTAATTTGGTTTTTTATATTTGCCTATTCCAAAATTACTTTCAGTATTAGAAAAGTATTTCAATCACTATCTTGCTATTTCTTTTAACTTCTGTCTTCTAACACATTGTATTAATATACCACTAAGTACTAATACCTGAAAATCCGAAAACATTATCACAATCTATAGAGATTTTAGATTCTAAATTATTACTGTTTGATGTTTGATCTGAAAAAAGTTAAATTAAATTAATACAAGTACATTTTATTCAAAATATTGAAATATAAGAGCAAGATAAATTATCAATGAGGAAATGCACTAGGCAAATTAATTATATTTATTACAAATGTGTTGGAAATTCTTATATATTTTCTTAATTTTATTTATGAGCAATTTAAATAATAATAAGTTGTTCAATTTTTTTTTAAATTAAAAATAATCCCAACATAAGTCATAACTAGTAAACTAGAACATTTAACTAAATAGTAAATAAAATACTTTTAAGGTACACAAAATTACTTAAAAGGAAAAACGTGGATACACCATAAACGACACCGTCGACACACTCAACACCAGTGACCAGGGGACAAATATCAAACACTAATGACTAATTTGTTTGGGTTTATTACAGATATTCTTTATAAAAATAACAATGACCAAAGTAAAGTGACCAATAATACAAAATTAATATGTATTAATGTATTATCATTGATTGTTATAAAATATACAAAATACTAGTATTAGACATTATTAGTACTTATAATCAATGGTATTATTAGTTATTATTAGCCATTTGGCATTGCTATATTCGTCGCCACTCAACAGCCCTACAGGGTACAAATAAACAACTTGCAGGTTTCAACATGCGGAAATGCGTCGAATCAGTAATTTATAATTTCTTAGTAGGTAATTAGTTCTGTTGGATTGAACCGAGACCACACACTATCTGGGTGTTTTTTTATAAAAATAATCGACCCATATAAATATTATATTGCTTTGATTTTATTTGATATCTATATTTATGTACCAAATATTTTGTAATTTTTTATCCAAAGATTTCTCATAAGAGTATACGATTGTACGAGGCTATTACAATTTACTATTATTTCATTAATAATATTTGTAATACAATAATTTAATAGAAACAAATTTTTGATGCATTTAGCATTAATTAATATTTTGTAAATTAATTTAAATTAAAAAAAAAAAATCTAACAAAATGGCCAGGCCACCAGGCCATGTATATGGTCCAGACTCCAGCCCTCTGGAAAATTCCCATTTCCAGACCGGCCACTCCGCCCCTGCCCACTTGTAACCTACTGTACAGCAGAGCACCTTTTTTTTATTTCTATGAATGTCAATATAACTTTATTTGTTGGGTATAATAGCTTGATAATTTAATATAAGGTTCCTACTATTTTGTATACTATACTATAAATAATTTAACACCATCCATTACAGTGACCCACTTGTAACCTACAGTGGCGTATTTAGGTGTTTGTCATTGGGGTTGGGAGTATTATTTTATTCAGTAGTCCCGCTTTTAAAGGTAGACGTCTTGAGTTAGGTTTCCAAAAAATGTTGCCTATTATATACAGCCCATGGGGAGGGGATTGATCCCATTGACCCCCCGTTAATACAGCAGTGGTAACCTACTGTACAGCAGAGTGCCACCCACTTGCCCACCTTTTTTAATTTATATTTATAATATAATATGTCAATATTAATTATTATTATTATGCCAATTACGTTTCGATGAACATTTCAGGGAAACTTTTAAAAATAAAAATAAAATTATGATATAGCCAAGGGGGAGGGAGGTTCCGGACCCGGGGTCCATCCCCTTGGGTTCGCCACTGATAAAATATTCATAAAAGTGTTTCGCCAACTTGGTCCACACTCCACGGTTAACGTATAAATTACCCGGTTGAAAAATGATGAATTAACAAATAAAATACGTCCACTTAAAACTATAATTTGTGCTCGGTTACGATATAATGTCATAACTCATAATATCTATTTATATAATAATATTATACACTTTATAGTTTATGTTCAGTTGTTCCTGTTATTTTGGATACTACGCGGCACGCGCATTTCGCACCGAGTGCGTGACATTTTAACACGATATATTATCATATTTTAATATTTATTTTATATAGAATAGTACGCCTGCAGCGAATATCGTTATATCGTGCGACTGAAATTTAATTTCGTTTTACATAATAATAATATTGTATCGACGACGCCGCATGGCACTTGTGTAATAACACGGTGACATATCGCATATATTGGCGAGACGACGAGAAAAGTGCGTGTGAAGTAAATGTATTCAATATTTTACACGCAGCGACAGTGCAAACAACGATCGTACCAGTTGTAGTTTTGTACATGTGTAGACTGTAGTGTGCCGTGTGCGATCCGTAGAGTTCATATTATATTATATTGATCACTATAATATTATATGTGGACTGCAGTATATTATATACGGTTAGAGTTTAAATTATATAGCGGAAACAGATCGGTGGTGTCATTTGGGGGAAAGTACTAGACTGGGGCAAACGGGGCATTTTCTCCAGTCTAGTATTTACATCAACCTTAAGTCGGCACATTTACCGTACATCGATGTCTCGGCGAATGGTCGCATCCCGCCATCCATATCGTTCCAGTTTTAGGGAAAACGTTCACGTCGGCTCCAGCAGTAGATTTCGTGCATTAATAAGACGAGTGTTTATTAGATGAACTCAATAATTTGGCTTTAGGACAAATATTATGAATTTGTGCTAAGTGATCTAACCGTTTCTAGAGACATTATCATATTATGTATTACGGTATTAAATAATAAATAAAATGTAAAACACATTTAGTTTTCCAATCAATTATAATATAATATTAAGAAACAAGTATAAAACAAATATTATGTAACATAATAATAACAGTTGATCAAGCATAATATGGAATGCCCCTGACCGGAAGTGGAAACTGGTGGGACGTCACCGTACTGTCCTTCGACGTCGCCGACTTCTTCCGAGACGGCAGCTCGCTGGACGTGTGACCGGTTATCTTCAAGTATGATGACACCGCCAACGGCGACAGCAGTAACGTCTTCTTCAAGCGTTCCAGTCGACGGCGTTTAATATCTTCATCCTGCTTTCGATTAAAATCCATTTTCGGTATGATATGAGTGCCGAAAATGTATGGTATTATGCTTTCAAGATTATTATTATTTGAGCAATTATGTAATACTCGTACAGTCGTACAACCCGGTCAGGGGAATTCCATATTATGCTTGATAAACCGTTATTATTATGTAATAGATAAAAATAGATAATATTTGTTTTATACTTGTTCCTTAATATTCTCAAATCAATCGAAAATGGTTGTCGAAAATATTTATTCGATTGTCAACTTTCGATCGAAAAAATTGATCCAATCGTTATTTTCCACTATATAATTCTCAAAAGCTGATCCAAAATTCAAACATCGAATTCTTGATTTTCGATCTAGTTTTCGACTATCGAAATGTTATTACTTATCACTTAATTGCTTATTATTTCATGAGAAAACGGTCTACAATAAATTATTAATTTGTTCATTAATTGCATATTTACATAGAGTAATATCATAGAATACTATAGAAACGACACTCTCCCGAAATCCTTTGTTCTGCCTGAATCAATTTGATAAGGTGCATAACTTCATGTTCTCCCGCTGTGTTCACAACATCAACCATAGAATATTATCAAACCTATCTATATAATTTCCATTGAACTATATAATAACTGGAACGCTCACCACGCAGTGTGGCCCGAGCGAGGATGTTAAAAAGAGATAGCGTATATATTAGGAGTATTTGTATTAGTATTGAGTATATATTGTCTAAAATATGAAATACCTAAATATATATTTGTTTTTCCATTCAAAATGTATTAGTTTTTACGAAAAAATTTTAAATGTAATAATTAATAATATTATATAAAATATTTGCTGTACTGGGGGGAGATAAAGAATTTGAAAAAAAATTCATTTTCGGCAGGTGTTATTTTTGCTGAAGAGGGATTATGGTTAAGTCGGATTTATGATTAAAATCTTAAAATTACAAATTAAATTGTTTAGCATTTATTTATAGATGATGCATGTTAGAAAATAATTTAGGCTCATATATAAAAATGTCAGGGAGTCACAACCTCCCCCCTAGTTTTTCCCCTGGTATTTATGATACAAAACCTCCCCAAAATTGTATTCTATGTTCCACACTGCCTGGAAGGATTTGTATATTCTTCTTCTTTCCTGTAACATAAAATACAATTTAAATTTGATTGAAACATATAATACATTACTTCTTCCTCTTCTTTCCTGATTTCTAGGTTTAGCACTGCCTCTAAGGATTTGTATCTTCAACCTGACATTTTTCATGTAATATAATAAACAATTTAAATTTGATTGAAACAAAATAACAATTTTTTTCTTGTTTATCGCCCTACTCTCCCAACTTTTTGGGGTCCTACACCTCCAAATAGCCCTGTCCTTATCTCTCCTTTACTCACACCTGCTATTTTCTTGCTATTATCTCGTCCATATTTTACTCTCTCTCTCTCTCTTCCTCATTCATCTTTCCTACTACATTTATTTACAATAAAACTTTATTTAAAATTATTATATAACAAATAGTAACATATCTAACAGCTTTATTATAATTCAAGTTAAAAAATTAACACTTAAAATTATTTATTATTGTACCTATAGACTAGAATATAGGTAGGTAATATAGGTACACGTCAATTCTATACCCTGTTCAAAATAAGAAGCGACCTGATTTACGCTTGAAAACCGGTTTTACTAGTGGCCGCCTGAATCGCTTCTTAAAATGAACAGACTATATCAGAAAGAACAAAAAACTGAAATTGACGGACGTCGATCACAAAATTCACAAATCACAATATATTTTATGCCGGTAAACATTGAAAATGAATACAGTACAGCGTGTTATCAATAAAGACAGAGATAGAAATACCTAAAGTGGGAGATCAGCAGTTGTCCGAAAAATGATAAGGAGCTGACGACTGATAACAGTTCGAAAACCAAAAAGCGTTGCCAACCATTACATACAAAAGTCGGTATACATTTTAATTGTTATATAGACATAATATAAATATTTATATATAAATATTATCATCATATAATATAATACAGGTATTTTATTAAATTATAAGGTTAAATTAAGAACATTTTCTTTACTTTTCTGGATTTTTGAATTTTCATTTTCTGTGATTTTCTAGATTTTTTAATTGAATTTTCATTTTCTGTGATTTTCTAGTTTTTAATTTTGAACGATGTCTCTAGAACAAGCTATTACTGTGGAATGTGGTATGTATTTAACAATTTCCTTTGATTGCTGAAATCCCAAAGTAGTTCAAGTATTTAGTCAAAAAGTGGTCACTAATTAGTTAAAAAGGTCGAGTCAAAACAACCCAATACAAAAATGTCTGTAATTTTTCTTTATAAAATTGATATTTGTTTAATTATTCAAGTAAATTAAAATAGGTATATACATTGCACAATAGATATTACGATTAAAGTTCAATAAATAAAAAATAAACTTCTAACTTAAAGATTTTGTGTTCTCTTAACTGAACTTGAGTTATTACTTGCCCACCTTTGATATGTAGGGTACTTCATTCCAAATTCCAAATCAATATTCAATATCCAATCCATTCATTTTGAGTTCTAGACATACTAAAAGTTATATGTTTTTTTAGATATTGTAAATCATGATCACGATTACTGTAGAATTCAAAATGAAGCTGGTAAGTTGATTATATAGTTAATTGCATGACATTGAATTGAATTAAACCCAATAATAACTGTAAGGTATGTACTCAATTGTTTATCTGTATATATGATAGTAGAACCTCAAGAACAAGTACTCTCTGTTCTTCCTATGCCCAATGTCCAGCCACATAGTTACACCATAGTTCCTGGTACACAAAGGAACACAGAAATAATCTGTGACAATTTGGGTAATATGTACTACAAAAACAAAAGTACTGAAAATAAAATGTGAGATTAAAATTTAAAATACATTTAAATAAAACTATTAATTTTAAGTTATACAGTACCTTATGACTTATGATTGTAACTGTTTAGCTATTTGGCATGCTTGGAAAAAAAAAAGGGGGAATGTGGGGGAACTGCAGTCATATCATCAGATCGAGAAAACAAAAGTCTTAAGATGTCAAATCAACATAGTCATCCAGTAAAACCATACAACTTGGATGTTCCATTCCTTCGACAACACATTACAGAAAAGGCTTTAATAAAAACTGTAAATTCATATGTGCCTCGTGGTATATACATGGAATCGATTGTGAAGTTGGTATTCATATTTATCTTTGTCTAAAAAATAAAACAAATATTAGTAATTTTATATTAGGTTTTATGATTAACAATTTAGGTAAGGTTATGTACTACCTTTCTGATATGTTTGAATCTTATTTTTTTACTCAATAGTTTTCCAGAAGCTGCAAATAATTATACCTTCGTTCAGTGTGCAGAAAGAATGAGGCGATTGCGACAAGGAATGTTCCCAGCAACACCTCAAAATATTTTAGAGTTCCACAATTTGCTTAGCAATGATGAAAACCAAATGTTTACACTAACATTACAAAAATTACAGTAAAATACAATTTGATTACAAAATTAAATTGAATAAATTAAATCTATTTAATAATAACCTATGCATAGATTTTATCAAGGCCCATTGGTTGTGAATGGAGTTATTAAAGGTGTCCTGTTTTGCAACATAGCTCATATACAGAAAATCAAACAAAATTTAAGAAATGTATGTAAACGCAATATAAATTACTTTGTGTACAATTCTGTCTATCATTTTTAGGTCCGTGTAGCGGGTTGTGACGGGACATTCAAAACTGTACCAAAATTTTTGGATAATGATGCTTATCAGATATTTTCATTCCATATCCTGTTCAAAAACGTTGTAGGTAAGTTTGTTAATATTTATTCAATTATTATACAATAATCCAGTTTAATAATATACATACTATTTTTGTTGTACAGAGCTTCCCACTAGTTCATGCTATCCTCACAGGCAAAACACAGGATATTTACATACAACTTCTGAGGTACGTCAGAAGTGTGTTACCATTGAATTATGCCGATTTAATCATAATAACAGATTATGAGTATGGGCTAATTAATGCTGCAAAAATAGTATTTCCGGAGAGCAAAACCCAAGGATGTTATTTTCATTTTTGCCAGGTAAATAGTAGCTTTGAGAGATTGGTATTCACCCTGGTACATATTTTTACATAACTTATAATATTATATTTTATAATGATCAATACAAATTAATTTTAACTTACAGATGATGAATAGCTTAAATGAATTTTGGCAGTACGCCAGTACTAGAATACCTAGTAGGATATTATAATTTAGACGTAAATTTTTAATTTTAATTATTTTATATTTTGATTTGATATTTTGTTAAACTAACCCTAATCTTAAGGTTATCTATATATTTTGTTTGACAAAGACACAGAATCAATTTTAAATGTGATTACTACTGTTAATGTTTATTTTACTACCCAGAAACTTGATTTATATATTTTTGTTCAAATAATTTATTTGGTTAGGTTAATTATGTAATATGCACCTAAATATAAGCAAGGCTGGGCACTAACGAGTTAAAAAGTTTTATTTTATTGTCATCTTAAGTTATTATTTTTATATTATAATATTTGTAGGTAATTAAAAATATTCTAACAATTAATTTGGTAATTATAATTTAGTAGTTATCGACCATTAGGTAAATAAATACATAGTTTTATTTTCTAGTTAAATTGTAACTTCTACAAGTTGAAACCAAAAGAAAAGTACCAAACTAATTTTCAACTTAACTTATATTTTTCTATATAAACTTAACTTAACTTAACAATTTAAAAAAAATATTTTACTTACCAGCCTTGTTTATAAACAATAACAACATTCCTATTCATTGTATCTAGTGTAATATTAAATATTAATAACCACACCTTAAGTACTCAAACCTTTATTCAAAATGTATAAATTTCTTTATTTATAATTTTCAAACAAATATTAAATATTATATAATATATATTAAGTCTTAATATTTTTGTATGAATAATGAG